CCCAATATTACCCTCGTACCCTGAGCCCCCCCCCCACACTCTCTCTCTCTCTCTTCTAAGACCTCTCCCCCTAACTCTGTCTCTCTCTCCATTCTCAAAACTCCCCCCACTTTCTATCTCTCGCCCGCACATTGACCGCTAGTTAACGACGAGTCTTCCCTTTCTCATCATAGCAGTTCTGCCATAAATCATATGACAAAGAAAATTTTCTCTACCTGTTTCTTCTTTGACAAACTCAACATTTGAAAAAGCTTTAATAGGACAAATAGACAAAAAAAAGAAGAAAATTCAAAAGAAAACAACGAAACAGAGTAACTAAAGATCCACTCTTTTAGAATTTCTTACCTCAAAACCTCGATTGCTATGGAGTATGGAGATGAGGGAGAGGGAGGAGAAGACTAAGGAGTATGTTCGGATCCGTGCGCGCATCTCTTTGTGGCTCTGGACGAAAAAGGTAGAGATCATGCACCGATGGTTATGGCATAAACGGGTTGGACTGCGTCGAAGATAATCGTAAAGAGGCTTCCTATGACACTGTTCTTTCATTCATGAGAATTCAATAGTAGAAGCTGAGTGAAAGATGAAGGGGGATAAGACACGGGTAACGGATTCTCGATAGGAAACGGTGACACGAATGAAGCGGGGCTCTTGTTTATACTTAACCGGCCAGCACTACTTCTTGCAACCGATGAAGACATACGACATAATTTAGATGTTTGTTCAGTATCATTGCAGCTGAACTTCCAGCCCTGCATAATGACCATTTGTTTTGTTAATGAGCTCATTGTGAGATCCAATTTCAATAATGGAACCTCCATTGACCACTGCGATTTGGTCTGCGTTCTTCACCTTCGAGAGCTTGTGTGCAACCAACTAGTTATTAAATTATTGGTTACTTTTCATAGTAGAAAAGATTATACGCTAATTTAATATACCGTTCAAACTTAATCAGACAATTGAAATCATCAAATCATATTGACTTTTAATCTCTCTCTCTCTCTCTCCCTTAGTTGGATTTGGGTGAACCCGTGTAATGTTTTTCGGAGAAACCTAGATCTGAGATAACCCCGATGAGAGCCATCGGAGAGATCGACGACAGTGGAGATCTGATAGAAAAAAATGATTGTCTTGTATCGGAACCCAAATCTGAGATAACCCCGATGAGAGCCACCGGAGATGTTAACAGTAGTAGAGATCTTAGAAGCGGTAGCAAAACCTGAAAAAACAACTTTCTGATCTCAAACCCAGAGTAGAAATGTAGTAGAAGTAAAGATGAGTAGAGAGAGATTGCAAAAGTGGAGAGGAGGAAAATAAAGAAGAGAAGAGAAGGGATAAATGGAGAAGGACGAATCAGGTTGCTCATGCCTAAGTAGCGATAGGAAATTCTAGTTTAATCTGAGCACATGCATAGAGTTGGAGCAGATCCTCTCTGTCCAACCGCGAGCACAGCGGCAGCCTCCGGCTAATCTCACAAAACACCACACCCCCTAACCTTCCAAAGATCAGCTCTAAAAAAACTTGTAATGATCAGTTTTTTCGTAAGAAAGAGGACCGAGCTGGGGAATCTCTCTCCATATGTAAGTGAGAGTTGAAGATGGGGAAGGTACAAATTGAGGAATTGCCATTCTCTCTCTTATTATTTGTTCTTTTTTTCACTCTTTTTGGATCGGAATCAGACTATCAATTTCAGAGAGTAAGTGTTTCTCTTCCCTTTCTCTGTTTTATTTTGAAAATTTGAAGAAGAAAGGATAAAATAGTCTTTTTCACTTTTATGTCAGCGGACATTAACGGTAAGGGAAGAGTTAGTCAATTGTCAAAAACAATAAGGGTAGTGTTAGTCAATTTTCAAACAGTAAGGGTACACTTAGTCAATTAGCTAAATCATAAGGGTAGTTTAAGAAATTTACCCATTAAACAATAAAGAATAAAGGCTGAATACGTGAAAACTTCTAATAATTTATAAATAGTTTCAATTAAAATTGACAATCAGGTCAGCAGATTGATCTGTGAATGAACCTGACCCAACTCAATTTTCGGGTCAGATCGAGTCACAGATTTGGAAGGCTAAATATGAGGCCCTAAACTGTTTTTGGATCGGGTTCATGGGTTTGGGTCAGATTTTTCTTGAATTTCATTTTCAAGTAGTTCCCATTTCCCAAGTGTGTCCTCGTTTTTGAATGACCAAAGTGACCTTAAGAAGCAACCTTCTTCCAAATAAATAATGTACCTGATAAGGTTATCTTATGCTTAGAAAAATAAACATATATTTGAGAATTCCTACTTCATACTTGTATTAGATGCTGATGAGGGCGGATTTGGCCCTCCAATGATATTGTGACACATGGCACCTCATGACAACTAGGTACAGCTCGGCACTTCACAGGCAGCTGGCCACCAAGCAGCCCGACACTTCACAAGCAGATCGCCACAAGGCAACTCGCCACAAGGCAACTCGCCACCAAGCAGCCCGACACATCCCAGACAGCTCGCCACTAGGCAGCTCGCCACCAAGCAGCTCAACACTTCACAGGCAGTTTGCCACTAGGTAGCTCAGCACCAAGCAGCCCAACACTTCATAGGCAGCTCGCCACCAAGCAGCCTAGCACTTCATAGGCAGCTCGCCACCACCAAGCAGCCCGACACTTCACAAGCAGCTCACCTCCTAGTCAGACCAACCACCGCATGGTAATTTCAATGATCTCACCATCGTACCCCGCGCCTTACGGGATCATGCCTTGTAACGGCTAGTATTAGCTCACCCACTCCCCGATTCAGGTGGAAATGGGCAACCTTACCGGTTGGTGGCATTATCCCCAACTAACACGGAAACAGATCCCATCACAACGGGGATCTAGGAACTACTCCACCAAACCAGCGAGGACTCCAGTATATAAAGACTTTACCCCCCAGGGGCGAAGGAGAAGAAGAAAGGATGGGTGATCTCTGCTCTCTAGCTCTCTCACAATCCAATATCATTTTTAGCTCACAACTAAGTGCTAACTTAAGCATCAGAGCGACCCCGCAGGGTAAACAACCCCGGGCTCTCTGGTTCATCACTTGCAGGTCACTAGGTCCGTCGTCTACTGGGAGCCAAGTCACCTCCATCTAGGAGCAGCCGGATTGTGCTACATCATTTGGCTCTTGGCACCTAGGTCCTCATTTGGCAAAAGTTCACTTCAGCCTCTGAGTCATCGGCCACTTGGAAGCAGATCAAATGACGAGGTACTTAGCACAAAAAATTGGACATCACCAAAAAGTGAAACATCATTTGGCGCCGTCTGTGGGAAACACTACAAAGAGCTAAGTTCTCATCCTCTGAAGGGCTAAGTCCTCTTCTTCCAGAAAGATAAGCTCTCGTCCTCTAAAGGGTTAAGTCCTCTTCTTCCAGAAAGCTAAGTTCTCAATTTTTGGAAACTAAAGCTCTCGCTTTCTAGTTTCCATTTTTTATGAACTCAAAGACTATGCAGGAAGTTGATAGCTAATAGACTAAGTAGTTCTACCAATTTTATTTCAACTCGAATAAAGCCTCATCAGTCCTCTTTGCGAGGTCCCCTCTACAAAGATGAGCTCTTCGTGGCTTCCACGGGACCAACAGACTGCATGGATGCCCTTGCTGGTCGATCCTTCCAAGGCTCTCGTGCGAGCTGGCGACCTAAAGTTAGTAGTGTTGCCCCCGTTGGTCGGGCTCCTAGTAGCTTCTTGTAGGAGTGGGTGACCGGCATCACGAGGCTGATGCAATGCAATCATAGCTCTAAGGTGCCCACCCGGCGGCCTGGCGTGGCCTGGCGACCTGCGCGCAGCCTGGCGGCCTACGTGCAGCCCGACGGCGTGCGCGCGATCTGGCGGTCTGGCCCAATCACGAACTAGCGAACTGATAAAAGACTTTCTCACCACCTAAGACCCAGTCGCCTCTTCGGCATGGGCGATCAAGTAGAGTGGACTACGAGTCACTTTCAGAGCCTAAGGGATAAAGTACCGAACTGGCAAAGACTTCAACACCACATAAGACCCAGTCGCCTCTTCGGCATGGGCAAAATCAAAGATCAAGGAGAGTGGAAGGGCTAAAGTTCCGAACTGGCAAAGACTTCGGCACCACATTAGACTCAGTTGCCTCTTCAGCATGGGCAAAATCAAGGGTAAGGAGAGTGGACTGCGAGTCGCTCCCAGAGCCTAAGGAATTGAATCGATGCTTACGAGCTCATCGAATTAGTCATTTCATGCCAAAAGGAGCAATCTACTCCCTTCACCGAGTTACTTTCAGCTCAGTAGTGGGGGGCAAATGATTAGGGCAGATTTGGCCCTCCAATGATATTGTGACACATGGCACCTCATGACAAATAGGTGTACTAAGCACTTGTCTTGATTATTTAACGATTCTTATTCAACAAGATGATGTTATTTCTGCAAGTATACCATCTACTGACGCCAATTGTTCCTCAAAGCC